CAGGAATAAGACAAGCTGCCGCAGTATAGCTAAACATGAACACTCAAACCCAAAACACTGGGATTTGTCAAGATATCAAGCTATAATTGTGATTATTAATGTGACATTGTAACTCTCAGCATTTTCCAAATCAACAGAGCCAGCACTGCTTTGGCAGCATGAGATGTTTTCTTTCTTTTAAATACACCAATAACCATAATCCTCACTTCAACAAAGTTGGGGTATTTTGTTCTTTAAACGAGGACAGTAGATGCTTATCTTGGCACAGCAAACATTCCTCCAAAGCCACACTTTGGCTTCCTTTCCCCCTATTTTCTTTGACAGTATCCAAAACATTAGCTTCTCCAAATCCAAGCCAACACAGAAGCCAGTAGAAGCTGCAGGTACTCAACCCCTCTCAAAAATACAGGCTCCTTCAGAAATGTGGTTCTGGAGCATGAAAACTGGACTGAATATTAATGAAACACTGACAAGGGGCATTACTCCTACCACCAGAAAAACAGATGGCAGATATACCTTTTTTTCCTTGCTGACAGCAACATTATCCAACAGATTTCATAAGTTTGTCTGTCTTAAGTGTCTGAAAAGGAGAGAAAGCAAAAGGCAAGATCTCCCTGTCCTCCCTCCCCTGTATCAGCACCCTGATAACACCATGCATCTACCACATATGGACAAAGCAACAGGCTATGCAAATTGCCTGGGCACTACTTTGGAATGCAGCTGAAGGCAAACGTGCAGCCCATGGCTGCTGCTGCCACCAGTAAATCAGAGCTTTTATTTGCACTTTATCCCGTGTGCGTCAGCACAGCCACCCTCTGCCAGGCAGCGTCTGACTGATGCTGGGACCGGACGCTGGTCCCTGAGGGACATCAGAAAACAAGGGCTCAGAACAGCTCAGGCACAGAGATCACAGGGACAGCTCCTGGTTTATGTTGGTACTTCACCCAGGTACTTCAGCACCAGGTCCCAAGCCAGTGGAACGGCACGAGGAGGGTTTAGCAGGCCAAAGCTTTACCTACCGAAAGCAGGAGATGTGCCAGGCTTCGTTGACAGTCTTGTAGAGGCGCTGCCCGGCAGCGATGCTGTCCCCACATCCCAGACATCTCCAGACTTCTTCACCTGCATGCAGGGATAACATGACAAACAGCAACCAGTTTACATCAGAGAAAACAAGGATTGCTGCCTCCCTCTTAAAGAATAACCTTAAATTAATTAACTGGCAGGAAAATCTTCACACTTGGAAAGTTAAACCAACACCAGGCAGTCTGTAACTCATGAGAGTGGAGCTCCCAAATCAAACTCTGACATCTTAGATATTACCTTTTTTTTTTCTTCGGACATGACATCTGCTCTTTCACATTCTGCAGAAGGAAACAATATGACTTTCCACATAAACCAGCTCAGTTATAGCTCTGCCAGAGCAGAGATTTCAGGAAGGCTGACTGCTCCAGTACAACAATTCCCACAGAGAAACACACTAGGCCAGGAAGCCACGCTACTGCTTCCCCCACACCACTGACTCAGCACACAGCGTTTGCTCTCATTTGTATAATTAAATGGATTTCCCAGAACTGAAAGAAAGGAAAGGCAAACTTTATTCAGTAGAGAACAACTTGACTACCGGGAAGGAATTACACACTTGAATGAATATTCCTGTAGAGGCTGTACAGCCAACACCAGGCTACTGTCAGACTTAGGAAGAGAGAGTGATGCTACTGGCCTATTGCCCTTTCAGAAAATACTTAAAATAGTTATAATAGAGTTATAATAGTTTCTGCTAAAACTGCCAGAAAGCCCCAGAGCTGGTTCCTTAGATGCAGGCGAGCTAGGAAAACAGAATGAAAGCCTGTGCACAAAGAGCATTTGGCACACAGATAAATGCTATCCCAAATCCCAACAGCAGTGCGGGCATACTAAAGAGTCAGGGATCTGGATGAGCACAGGAGGGCACAACGAGCGTGTGCTGAGCAGATCTCAAACCTGTTTCTTCCTGCAACCGACAGTTTGCTTGCATTAAGGGTTGCATAAGGAAAAAAGTGCACTTAGAGAAGGAAAACCACAAACCACGAACTTCCATTTTCCAAAGAACGTTACAACTTGGTAGTTGCTCAGGCAAGTCGATACCATGATTAAGTTCCTTGAAGCTACACAAAACAGAAGCCATCAGCCTTCCATGCACTTTGACCCCACCGTGTAGGTCAGCGACAATGTTTAAAATTAACCAAGGTGAAGATCTTGCATGTTTTACACAAGTAGTGATTTAGGAGGAAAACCACTTGTTGCTCAGCCACAGGCACCACTCTCTCCAGCAGACTGGCAGCACCCAGAAACGTCTCCCTGCAGACTGCAGGGCTCAGAGGATTCATTCAAACGGGACGTGTGGTGTAAGTTGCCACTTCAGTTCCCAACTGGGCATTGGCTCCACACCTGGGAGCACCTGCCCCTGTGCCCTCCTGCTCTCCAGAACACCAAGAACTGCACCTGAGCTCAGACCTGCACAGCAGAGTAAGGGTTAGGAGAAACTTGGAAAAAGCTGGCACTACCCATGTTCTTCTATAAAGCAAATTGCTTTTCAGCATGCCAAACGGGCTTGGGAATAAAAGGCAAAGCCACACGTGCTTGTACCTGCGTGTACAGGGACCAGAGACTCTCCTCTCCAAGCAGGGCAAGCCCTGGAAGTCAGCTGCACTTGTGGAATTGCTGCAGGCCAAAAACACCTGCAAACCAGACACCCTGCAGCTCCACGCCCTCCCGTTCAGTACCACCAGCACAAGGAACACATGTCAATGTGGTCAGTGGATCCCGTTAAAGACATGTAAAGATCAAGGACTACGCCACAGCTGACTAAAAGCAACAGATTCCTCCACAACCATCACATAGGACTTGACCCACGAGCTCCCAAGCCCCGGCAGCAGCCGCCCGACGCTGCTGCGGTGCTACATCTGTTTGAGCGTCCCCGGGAAGGCTGATTAGCTCAGAACGGAAACGAACAGTCCTAAGTCCGACCGAAACTGTTCAGTATCCAGGAGAAACGACGGAAATGAACAAAACAGAGCAGGAAACGGCGCGAAGGAAAAGCAAACGGACATAATCAATGTAGCAGGTCCTGCCGGGTCCCCCAGGACGGCAGGAATGTTTGAGGAGCGGCCAGCGAGGAGCGGCCCCGGCGGGCACCGGCCGAGCCCCGGGGGCACCGCGGGACCCCGAGCGGGACACGGGGCCGGGGGCAGCGGGGCCGGGGGCAGCGGGGCCGGGGGCAGCGGGGCCGGGGGCAGCCGGGCCGGCGGCACCCGCGCTGGAGGACCCCGTGCGGGCTACGGCCGCACCTCCATCGCTTCCCAGAGGGGTTCGCTGCACCGGGACCGTCGGGAACCCCCGCGCCGCGCGTGGAGCCGAGGACCGGCGGAGGGAACCACGGGCCGGCTGCAGCCCGCTCCCTGGACATGGGCTGACACCCAGCCAGGGCGCGAGCTCCGAAGGCAGCGGCCCCGCCGAGCCCCGCAGGTGCCTCCCCGCGGCACCGCCGACGCACCGGCGCCCGCATAACGGACCGGGGGGAAGCCGCGGCCTCGCGACCGCGCCCCCGCGCCCCTGCTCCCGTGGTGGCGGAGGGCGGCCCCTCCCACGAGGGCGCGGCGCGGCCCGGCCCGGCCCGGCCCGGCCCGAGCTCACCTGGCAGCGCCTCCATCCCGTGCCCGCCGCCCGCTCCCGCCCGTCGCCAGCGGGTCCCGCCGCACCTGGACCCGCCTCCCGCGGCCCCGCAGCGCCGCGCCCCGCCCTCCTCCTCCCCGCGGGCCAATCGACACCGCCCGCCCGCCGTGCCCGCCAATCCCCGCGCCGCCCCGCCCCGGCCGCCCCGCCCCTTCCGCGCTGCCGGCCAATGACAGCGCGTGCTGCCCCACGGCCCCGCCCCGCACGTGCCGTGGCGGGCGCGGCGCTGGGCGGGTCCCGCCCCCCCGGCCCCCTGAGGGAGGCGCGTCCCCGCCGCTCCCGGCCCCCCGAAGGAATGGCGGCGCACTCCGGTCAATGTAAAACCATTTTTTTTTTTAATTCTAAATCACTTTCACAACAGTGAAAATTAGTGAGGAGGAGGTGGAGGAGGAGGAGAAGGAAGAACGGTAACGCACTAACCGAGCCGTCCGGGCCGTGTGCGGGCGGGTGCGGGGCAGGGGTACATACAAAAGCACACCGGGGAAAGAGGGGAACCAAGCGTTAACACTTTCAGACTATTTCATCTTGGAATTGCCCGAAAATAAGAGCTCCCAGTCATGTTTCTGCAGCCTCCTCTAAATCCATTATATCTCTCACCCATAGATGGAAGGCCCCCCAATGCATTAAAATTCCGTATTTTAAAACATAAGTGCTAGTTAAATATGTTTCAATACCTCTTGAACCTATTGCAGTCAGTTCTCTCTCCTCTTTATGGGAAAAAGGCTTCCAAGGGATACCCTGCTCCTCCCTGGACGACCTCTGCTCCCAGCAGCGAGTTTCTCCACTCAAAAAGGAGAAGGAATTTATCCCTTCCCACCACATGGGCCTTCCCTTCCCATCAGCAGGTGGTGCTGGCTGAGCAGGAGAGGAGCAGGAGAGGAGCCCGAAGCTGCGACATTGCAGGACAGCCACACAAACAGCCTTTCTCCTGGAAAGGGCCCCAGTTACATGTTATGCACTTGAGAAGAACCCTGTGCAGAAGTTCAGCTTCCCAAAAGTGCCACAAACAAAAGCTGAAGCACCACTTCAACTATAAATAGTTGAGCAATATACTGTGCCAGATTATCATCCAGTCAGGTATAAATTTGACCACATGTGGCAAAACACTGCAGAAGCTTTGCAACATTCTACTTGCCAGATGGAGTTTTGGAGGTAGGCAAGTTAAACTTCAGTCATCCTCTGTCTTGACACTAAAAGTGAACAGTTTATAATCACATAAATAAGCTTCTACAACAATTAAGGTGTCCTGCCCAGGAACCTCTTCCATATACACTAGAAAAACCCCAAGCTATTGAAACAAAGTTTCTATTTGTTGATTTGTTTTGTCAGTTTTCTGTCTATTGCCAGAGAAGTCACAATATTCATCTTGCAGGAAATCAATGAGACTATCAGCGACCTGAATCGAAACAATCTAAAAACAATAAGAGGAAAAAAAATGGAATTGCCTAGTCAGAGAAATATGAAAACTGTTCATCTTGCTAGGGAATCTCTCCTATCTGCTGTTGTGAAGGAATCTACACAAATACATCAGGAGTACTCTTTAAAGCTGAATACCCAGCAGGATTCCAAAACAGCTACAGAGTGCTCACCTTCTGAAATATCCCCTCAGCACATTAATGGTTGTGGTCTCCTCCAGCACTTCAAATTAAACTCTTTGGTAGATACTGCAGAGACTCCTGTGCTGTGGCCGTTCTGCTGTGGCTCAGAGAAGCTGTGTGCACCTGCAGAGAGAAGGTCTTCCAAGTGCTCCCTACCGTGCATGTGCTGGCAAAGGCAGGATCTCATTTTTCCTCCTGTGCAATTTTACAGTATGACAGGTTTAACCTCAAACCTCACGTAAAGATGCCTTTTGTTCCTCTCCCCGAACGAGCTGATCTCGGATCTGTAATAGGATTTTATTTGGAGGACATGACCTTGCGTAGAAAGTCTCAAAGCCTTGGGAGGGGATAACTGTCGCTACCGTGACGAGGTTGTGGGGTGAGGGGATTATCCACGAGTGCAGCCCCAGGGCTGTGCAGAGCCAGGGGAGACAACACTGCTGGTCAGTGAGGAACTGGGCTGGGTGAGGCAGCAGCTGTGTCCAGCCCCACCCAGCTCTACAGCCAGAGAATCTTCCAGTGTCTGGCTCCAGCATGTTCAGGCTTTAAAAAATTGCAGCATAAATTTGTATCCCTTCTTCCAGCAGCCGTCAGAACCGCATCAGGAAGGGGTTTCCATCACACCGGGAAACAACAGCAGGAAAAGGAACCAGTCTCCGGACCTGGTTCCATTTGCACCACATGCTGTGCCCAAAGAGTGTCAGCAGTGCTGCAGATGATTTCCTGGAGAAGGCTGGATGTTGATGGAGACATTAAATAACATCTGCAGCTCTGGCAGATCCATCGTGGTTGCAAAGCATGAGATACTGGTCACACTGGAGAAGTTTCCTGACCTGCCCAGTCTACCTGGGGGTCCCTGTCTTTCCCACAGACCTGGTGTCACTGATTGGCACAGGATTTCAGAGCAGCACGCCCTTGGGAGCACAGCTCAACGCTAGGCCCGTGGTTTGTGGCAGGAACCTGTTGTACAAGATATCTGAGCTGAAATACGCTTTTTAACCAATGTTTAATTTCCAACTCTGGTGCAAAATGCGAGATTCCTCATTGTGCTGTGGTACCACCAATTCCTGAAGCCCATAGTTAGCTACGGAACCAGACCAAGAGGTTTAAAGTGGGATGGGGATGCAGTTTGTAACTGTTTCAGTGGCCTTGTTGGTCATGAATATATAGAATAATGGAAAAGATTTATGCAATCAACAGCCAGAACATTATCACCAGTGCCACAAACAGGAAGAGGCGGGAAAGGAACTGCTCATCCACATATTGAGGAGTCCCTGGAACAGCTGGAAAACAGGAAGTGAAAAAAAAGAAACAAAAAACAGTTTAGCTCCTTCCTCTTCTCCAGGATCGTGCATACTCTGAACACAGTAGACAGTGCTGAGCCAAGTTCACTGTTCCCAAGGAACTTCACTACCTCTACCAGAGCTGCCTCTGTTCCTTCCCACCAAGGTGAAACCTCTGAACAAGGAAATGGTAAAAGGGTCAGAGCTGCCTGTGAGTCTTGGCCAAGAGAACTAATGAAAAGCACATGAGCTCTAAAACTCAAGCTGTGCCTTTCTGGAACTGCTGCATTGAATCCACCAAGGAAAAACAGATAAAGGAGTTGGTTAAATTATGGCTGTTACAACAGCACATTTACACACTCCTGGCTCAGCCACCACACACACAGATTTTTAGGGGACACTGAACTATGGTTAACAGGGAAGGTAACTGGACCCAAGGACAGCACAGGACTGTGGCAACACAGCTGTGACATGAAGAATGAGTTTCTTCCTCGTAATTCCTGTGCCATATGACATGGTGGAAGATTTGCCAGGCACAACCATTCACAGAGGAAGTCCAGAAAATCCTGGGCAGTAAGTTTTCTTGTTCAAAACAGACAGACTCAGATGTCTCCAGTGCAGATGGGGTTTTCTAGGGATTACTTAATTTTTAGAGAGCAAGGTCACCACTTGGAGTAACTCAACTGGTTTTTGTTAATCAAAACCAGCAAAATAATTTCACTGGAAAGTTACTTCTTGTGGAATACAGATGACGGTCTCAGAGATAAACTTCTGAAAAAGGAACAATCTTTGCATTCATTATTTCGTGGTACAGAGCGTGTTTAAATTTTTCCTTCTCATCTTTCAGGAAATGGTCCTTTCCTGCTGTTTTCAAAATCTAGGTCTCCTTCATACACCCCTAGTGACTCCTTTTTATTATTAGAAACTCTAGTCCAATTGGTCTCATTTTTCAGAGGGAGTCTGCTGAGTACCAGAGGAGACATCTGAATTAAAAGGGAGAAGTCTCCAGTGCCACTGTCCCTCTCCAGTGCCACTGTTCTCCCAGGAGGGCCTTTAAATGATATGGAAGGGACAAACTTGCTTCTTTATGAGCCCATGTACAAAATGTGTCAGCCATAAACCATGTTCTGTGCTGGGCGTTTGCCCTCATGTTGTGTTTCTATTCACAGCACTTGTTATTGCTGAGAACATTCTGTCATTTAGCAGGTTATTTGTTTAAGAGTTACAAGGGAGTTTGTAAAACATGTTTGTGACAGGATCCTTGGCGGAGGTGGATCTGTGGTACCTGGAGGAGGTCGCCCGTCGTTTATGTTGAAGGCTGTTGCAAATATACCAAAGGGAAACGCCCCAATCCCAAAGGACATCTGGAAGCCACCATCGCCAAAGCCAAAGCCCTGGAATCCCTGCAGAGAACAAAGCAGCAGGAGACAAAAAAGGTAACAATCATTTAAAGCCTATAGAATATTGTGTAGAAGTGCAGACATTCCCTCCCTCTGGCTCTCCTCCACCTGAAGGAAGGCCATGCTGTCTAACAACTTTCCCTCTGACACACTATTGTAAATATTTCCTTAATTCCCCTGGTTTTAAAATGTTTCACACAGTAGCAAACTTTTCAGAGCAACCCAAAACTTTGAGAAAATGAAAACTAGGAACCACAGTTTTTGCTTGAAAGCCACAAGTTCACAAAAGTGTATCTGTAACATTTCTCAGCTTAAAGTAGTAGATATTTGCCAATGTATCAAAATCAACATTACCAATCCTATTTAGAATATCTAAACAATGTATTGTGTGTTAATAGCTATTAGCCACATAACTATAAGAAAGGCATTTTAAAGAAATAATCTACATTGATTTTCGTGATACATGTGCGTCATTCAAACACTGAGTGAAGTGATAAATTGCCAGTGGGATGCAAAGAGCATTATAAGGAATAGTACAAAAAAAAATTTACCAGGGGGACTCTAATTAAGGTGTCAGATAAAGTCACCTGGGGCAGGAATGCAAGACATAAAGAAAGGAGGAAAAAAGGAAGAGTTACAATGCAACACTGACCCCATGGGATCCAGACTAAAACACCACATCAAGTCAAAAGACAAGTCTTGTGAATGGAGATGGATCCTGCTGTGGAGAAGCACTGTGCTACTGGAGAACCAGCTGTGTGTGGATCTAGAGAGTTGTGTCATGTTTAGAAACTGCTGAGAGCCCACACTTCTGTAAACCTGCCCTCTCATCTCAGAACTGAAACAGTGATACCAATTCTGAAAGACCCTCTGGTCTGTCACCTCCCAACAGTGGGAGGACAAAGATGATTTCACTCATATAATAAAAGCCAAACATTTCTGGATCGAGCCTTGATTTGAGGAGCTGGTCTTTTGACTGTGACTCTTCTCAAGGACTTTGCCATAAACTATGAGGGACAGCAAAGCTCTCTGTGTGCAGGTACAGGGCTTGTAGGGAACAGGAGGGCAGCATCGCTACTGGTCTTTGTACCAGACTCCTCTGACTTCCAGCAGCACCAGCTCAAAGGTTCAAACAAGGTGCAGGAGCTGATTTAATAAGGCAGCAACTCCCCTAACAGCTGAGCTCCCAACATATTCAATACAGAAATGTGCCTTAATCACACCCAGCAGAGTTGTTTGCCTGCAGCATGAGGCAGATAAATCCTCTCTGAGGACCCCAGGCTGTGTTACATGGAAATGTGCCATTGTTTCATCAGGTCCTGCTGCAGAACTGTCCTGCTGCCTTCTCCCACGTCTGCTCAGTCTGTGCCAGCTGCTGTTTACATGCACTCCAAGTCATCTCCTCAACAACACCAGAGATCCCTCTCCAAATGAACATGTATCCAACAGATACCTACTTTCTTTTGCTTGTAATGCCATGGTACAGTAACATCCCACAGAAATTATAGAAGCAGGTTTCAGTGCCAAAAATCCCAGTTCATACATGAATTATGTATTTCCATGACAGGTATATTTTGATGGAAACACACTTCCACACAGGATTTTCAAAGCAAAGTGTTCCTTGTATTTACATGGAAAACAATTGAGCATGAAGAGCATTTCCAGTGATACCACACTGGGCCATTTTCACAAAGCACAATCCAAGTTAGCCCGTTCTTTGGGATGCTAAAGAGTACTGTAGGAATGGAGTTTTCTGCCACACCACAGCTATGAATGATTCATGACCAGCCAACTGGGGATGAGCAAGATGTGTAAGCTGCAGGATCCTCACACAGGATCTCAAGCACACACACTGTCCTCCAGGAGGAATAAATACCACCATCAACAAAAACAGCTCATCAGCCCCAGTTTGTTTCTTCACTTACCCCTCTGTTCTCTGGTTCAGGTCTCTGTCCTTGGGGTCGTGGTGGAGTTTTCTCTCTGCAGGAAGTTGTGAAATTAGCTCAAGTGCAAGGACACATGACAGCAGCCTCTGCAATAGCCTGGCTAATAAGGCAGAGCAACCACAAAGCTCAGTCCCACAGGGCCAGGCTGCAGCAGAGCTGGAGCAGTGTGTGAGAGAGCCAACCCCCAGCTCCTGGACCTTCAGCAGCACATCCCCGAATTATTGCTGCACTTTTGAATAACAGAAGTCCCATTGCAAAGGCTAAAAACTCTGGATATGAACATTTTATAGGAGCTTATCCAGCCAGATAACAATCATTGCAACCTGACACTTGTAACTGATAATTAACACCCAATTAAAATTCAAATGAATTGCCAGTTGAACATGAAATGAGGTGTGTAAACCCAGGCCCTGAAAAAGCCAGAAATATTTGGCAGAAATGTCAGTTCTATCTATCTTTTGACAAAGTATTACAAATTATGAGTCCAGCACTTTGACAGTTTAATCTTAAGACAGCTAACTAAAGTTTCATCTTTAGCTTTCAAACAAAAATAGTTGTATTTAGGTTTCTTACCTGGGGTCCTGCTGCCCAGTGCTACCTCTTCCATACAGAGGAATAACTTTATCTCGACTGATTCCTGCTTTGCATACAGGACACACTTGCCTGTTTGGCCTGGTCTCTAGCCACTAAAAGAAAGGACAAGATAAGGAAACTAGTAAAAGACCATGAAACAACAATATGCAAACCTCATTTGCAGCCAGGCAGAGAGACTTTAGCAATTCCTCAGAAAGCCCCAGAGCAAACCATTTTAATAAGTGCCACGTGCTCTCCAAAGTGGAGCTGGCACTTTGGCTGTTGTTCTGGTATGATCCACTTGCTGATGTGCACACATTCAGACCTCCCCTGGAGTAAAATATGAAGAAATAAACAGTGCCAAGAGTCCTGCATAGGCCCAGGGCTAGTGTAGACACCCTCCTTTCACCCAGCTTTTCCATAAGGTACCACAATGTAAAACATTACAAATGCAGAGAGAAGTACACCCAGCACTTAAACCTGCAAGGGAACCCCCTACAGTAATTCTACCAAAACTGGAAATACTCAGGTGGAACAGAATTAAGTTTTCATGCTGAAAGAGCAGTTTGCAAGGTGTTGCACATGCAGTTGCATTAGCAGGTTGTGATTGCCCTGGAGAGAAAAGCACATTTAAAAAGAGGGGGATACTCCAGAGAACCAAGGGCTTTATTGAGCAACAGGAGCTGATGAAAGACAAAGTAAAAGGAAACCTGTCTTACCTGATGTAAACAAGGCCAACTGTGAGCATTCCCAGGACAATTTGTTCGCAGAGCAGAAAAAGGGGGAAAATAGAATTAGTTACTGACAACTTGAACCGACAAATGTACACGGATAGCACGGCTTGGCCACAGCAAAACCCTGGAATCCAGCTGGGCCAGTTCTGTAACCTCCCATTAAAGTAATTTTTGAAAGTACAGCCCAAGACTGATCTCCACTGGTTCTTTCAGGTTACACAATCTAAGTTGCAAAGGTGGTTCTGTGCATATCCCCTTCGATTCCTCGTCCTCTTCCACACCAAAGGCTCACACAGAGGCTGCATCAATCCTGGGGTTCACTGTGCAAACTGGCTATTCTGATACCATGAAAAGATATCTCTGAGCTAAGATGCAAATGAGCAAGATGTCAGCAATGAGACTTCAGGATCTTAAAAGATTTAGCTGAAACATCAGCCACATTCATAGAATCATGGAATAACTCAGGCTGGACAGTACCTCAGGTAGCCTGTAGTCCAACCTGATGCTCAGAGCAGGGTCAGCTATTGAGATCAGACCCAGTTGCTAAGGGCAGAAAAATTCCCATTATACAGATTAAATTAATATGGCAAATTAAAAAAAGGTCAAAGAAAACAAGGCTACAAGACAAAACTGCAAACAGCCATCTGCTCTCAGAATGGTCTCGACAACCCTATTCAGACAAGACACATGCTATTTTTAAGGTTCCATTCTTCCAGATCCCTTTGTGGGATCTAATTTTATCTTAACAAGCCATTAGCCAGTGATTTTCCATCTCCTCAAATAAAAATCTGGATTTTCAGATGTTACATACATTTACACAGAAAAGAAATGCTCTTTTAGGCCTCTTTTTATTAAAGATTTAGCCTCCTGTGTAAAATAATCCCCCAAGCCCCCACATTTGGCCATGTCAATCCTTAATAACTTCCTAACATTCAAGAAAGAGTATATTCAAACCAAGTTACCCAAATCAGAAATGCTGCACATGTATTATATCTGTGCTGTACATTATCTCCATGTCAGATCAAAGAACTGTAAAGTTCCTATTACAACTGCAATACCATGGAAAAAGAGAAATACCCCACATGGAAAAGCTTATTGCCTATTTTTTTTTCTTTTTTATGGTTTCAAAGGAAAAAACAGCCAAGCCTGTGGGAAAAACTACAATTTGGCCTCCATAACCTGGATTCAAAGGCAGGTTTAGGCCTGCACAGGTTAGAAAGGTCTAAAGAAGATGTCTGTGCTAGGCCAGACAGCACAAATAAAATAACACACAAAACCAAGCAGTATCAATGAGGTCTGAACTGTCTGTGTGGGGCTGCTTGTTTGCTTTTACAGAATAATCACAATATTCTGAGTTGGAAGGGACCCACAAGGCTCATCGAGTCCAACTCTTACAGGAATGGCCAGAAGTTCAGGAAGTTTAAGATGCAAAAAACCCACTCCTGGACCATGAGCAAAGAACAACAGCTGAGAAGCTTCTCCTAAACCAAACCCATGGTCCTTACTCATTTTATACAGGACATTTGACATCTGGAATTATAAAAAGCACAGGATTCTATGGGATCAGCTGGATGGTGCTGATCTACAGGCTGAGCTGTGGGGGTGGGAGCACTTACCAGAAGAGGTGCCCACACAAGCTGATCACTGCATCCTTGGCAGTGTCCAAGCAGATGTTACATTCAAAAGTGTTGTCCTGATTAGTGTTGTCCCCGGGACCGTTACTGCTGCTGCCACTGGTCCCTCCAGTGCTGGAGCTCTTGGTTGATGCAGAAGCTGTGGATCCTTTGCTTGCCATCCTCAAGAACTACCCAGACACAAGGTCAAGAAAATTTTCCTGTTGGAATCCTAGCAGTGAGAAAGGGAAAAAACCAAACAAACCCAACTTCTTGGCATTATAACATTGCATTCTGGTCCTGTTCCAAACTGGTAGTGATTTATCTAAGAAGCTCTTGAATCCTGTTGTTGATGGTTTTAGTCTAACATAGCCAAGAGGGATCTTTTTTTAGAAACTAAGCTACTTTACAGTCCTGTAGTATGACCTGGCTGGTGTGTGACCTGTATTTTATTGTTACTGATAAGCAACTGAGATCCACAGCCAAAACAAACCCCCTGTATTTTCTCAGAAATGCCATTTGCTGTAAGAGGCATGAGCTCACCTAGTCACACATGCTCTTCCAAAATTCAAGACAAGTTAGAACTGCAAGTGCAGTCTGAAATGGGATTTAATCATGAAGCCATTCTCAGTTTGGACAGACTTGACAATGCAGAGTTTTAAGTTCAGTGTTCATTAGTTTGGAATATTAATGATAATAATGATAAGCAAAGGTAGCTTAGAACTTGATTTGTCTCCTGAGCTGTATATTGCTGCTATCACAGCAATGTGTTGATACAACTATCAAACATTTCTAGTACTTTCAAACTATCAAACATTTCTAATGTAGTAGTAATGCAGAAGTACTAAAAATGGTACCTTAATGCGCTTTAATTTTACTCACTACTCATTAACATCATCATATTTATCAGAGAACACCGTTTATTTCATTTCAGTAGCAACAACCTCCACAGTCTCATCCTTGATATGTAAATTCCACAGTACCTAAATCTTTGAGACTCAGCACAAGGCATTTACATTTCCAGAAAAAAACACTCTTAGCAGTGTAATATTTTTAATCTAAGAACTAAGAGAGTTTCAGCAGTTACATATATTAATTCACTAAACCAAAAATGTTTAAAATATTCCACTGTGCTTTCCATGAAACTCTGACATTACGTTGCTGCTGCAGGAACAGGAATACTCAGCTAAGGTTATGAGAAAAAACAGGTGATTATCTGACCTTTTTGCAAGTGTACAAACAGTGAAGCACTTTCAAAGGGCAACCTGAATTTTTCAGAAGAATTTTTTTTGCCAACTCACCCCACAGGCGTTAAAGGCTTTCCTTGGTGTCACCTCTTTGTAGCAGAGCTGCAGAACAGGTGCAGGGCAGCAAAAGAAAACCTCAAGATCTCTGGCTGTTGCTGCCAGCAGCTTTTTTCATACCATACAATCCCACAGCACCGTCAAGGAAGCCTCACACTCAAGCCTGGTGAAGTATTGCAGCAGAGACACTCAGTTCCAGCAGGTGGAATGTATTTCTGCAGAGCTTTTTCACTCAGTTACATCATTTTGCACAGTGTCCCAGAAGGGCAGCTTTGTATTCACAGATGCTGCACTTCAACATACGCTGCTTTCAGCAGTGCTGACTCTCAGCATTTCACACCATGACTTCATTTACACTCAGTGCATTGTACAGAATCCAAATTCATGTTGGTTCAAGGCAGATGGAAATGCTGCCAGCCCATAAACTATATGCTAAAGACACTTGGATTTTTCACACATCCTTACTACCAGAATCTTCAGCCTGTCTTGCTCAGTAGTTTACGTGAAAACTCACCAACCTGGACCCATATATATAAATATCAAAATTGAGAAAACCTCCTTAAAACTAAGGAGTTCAACACACTGTAAAAAACACACTTTATGGAATGAGCACGAGAAATGTCTGGCTTTTATATCCTGACATATAACACAAGGAAAGGATGTAGAAGAGACAAATAAATTAATTTCTGTGATCCTTAAAACAATGTGGAAAAAAAAGTAGTTTTCTACAAATTAAATTCCATAAATTTAACACCATGAATCTGGAAACTCATCAAAAAGATAAAATCTGTATCTTCACCAGCACCTACTAAGAAAACCCTTAGCTTTCAGTAACTATGAAAAATTAATAAATCATTAAGTTACTGAAATATCAGTATGAAACGAAATGAAATAAAATGGCTGAGAAGAAGAAGAAAGATCAAAATGAAACAACACAAGAGGTACTGGATCTCCTGTCCCAGAAGAGGGTCATTCCTTAGTCTGTACTGGGGATCCCCTCCTAATTATTTGCCTACTGGCTGATTCAGCCCAATGACTTATTAGGATATAACCAATTTAAAATATCAAAAATATATCAAAACACAACAGTAAAAATAATCAATCTCATCCTGAAAAGCCTTCTCACACATTTTCTCTTGTCCCTGGGATATCATTTAACACACCCAGGTCTGTAACAAGTGCTGCTGGGTCTTCATCTGCCAGTCCCGCTGCACATGTGCAAAGAAGCAAACATGAAACAGTATCCAGTGGCTCATTTCCATTTGTTAATCATATATTGTATCACTTGTGAATGTGCTCTGTGGATCCTGAAGTCAATGTTCAACTGCAAATTCACCTGCTCTGAGTGTAGAATGAGCTCAAAATTGTTAAACTGTCACTTGAACTACCTCAACTCTGAGACAAAACTCTTTAGGGAAAAAAACCCCAAACCAACAAACCATAAGCAAACCACACACTAAAAAACCCAACAATCAAGACAACAGGCCAAACCAACCCCATTTTCATTTTGATTTAGAGCTCAGAAGGAAGACTGTGAGTACACTGGTATAGAAGATGACTTTTGGGGTTAAGTAAACAGAATTTAGAGTTGCCAGTGGAGGTTTGCCAAGCCCTGGTCTCCAAATCAAGCCTAGAAGCATGATAAGTAGCAAACAAGTGAAAGGATATAAAAATCAGCTGATATCTAACTGAGGGCATTCAAAGATCTTGTCTTTTCTCCTTCTTACTTTTTTGCTCTTTAGGTTGACAGGAAAACAGCATCTTTGTTACTTAAAAGCCACCTATATTAGCTGTTTATTTCCTTTAAATCATGATCCCTATGATATCCCAACAGACCGTTCTGACATTTACTACACCCAAGAATCAAGCAGATGAACAGTTAAGAAACAAGGAACTCTACTGCAAGTCAGCTTCCTACATAGAAAAGTCTGGTGGAGCTGAAGAAGACATGGAGGTGAAGATACACGAGACAGTGGAACTGGTCCTCCGGGAGGCACAAGGGACACTGGGACAGCTGGGAGCTCAGGAGGTCCACGGTGGGGGTAAGTGCAGGGGAAGGTCTGTTTTAGTATTTCAAATGTATTGTGTAAGCACTGGGTGCAGATCTCACCAACTGGCAGCAAGAAAGACCTTTTACTCAAACGCTTTAAAAACTAAATCTGTAAATCTACTGGGGACAACTGCACACCAGGAACACGGGAGCTGAATGGCTGCTGTCACAGGTCACGTTTCTGAACCCAGCAAATGAGAATGACTGCATTTGCCAAGGTACACTGACCCAACCCTAAAAACATAGGAAAAACACTTCAAGCCAGACTGGCAGAGTTTCCATTACAAGTTAAAGCATGCAAAAAAAAAAATCTTACTTTATCTAGGATTACTGAAATTGAAATAATCCAAAGCTAGTTTGTTTGCAAAACAAGCTCGGCTTTAGTTCCTGAACCTTTTGCAGTTTAAATCAAAAAGAAAACCTGCTGGATTATTTTTCTTATCACTACAGTGACATTTTCTGACACGTGTGACAAATTTTATAAAAGGAATATTAACATCAGAAATTCTATCTCAACCTAAAACTAATACTCAGAGTAGTATAAATACACCCACTCAAAAGTCAAACAAAAATCTAATACCTAACCTATTACAATTGCCTGGGCTTCAAGTACAACGACCAGGTAACCTCAGCTGATAATTGCTGACAGGGCCTAGAAGAAAGTGCACTGACTTCTTGACAGTCATTTTTAGATATTCTTAGCAAACATGACTGTCCTTCTGTTAATCATTAAATACCCATTTATCTCTCGATACCTTTTTACTCTTTTCTGTCTCCCAAACATGTTACATTTTAACTCCTTGGGAACATTTCCCGAGTTCATCTTTTCACTTCCTGCAACCTGCACAGCATCGGGCACCAGCTTTTCAGTATTAGCACGAAGTGGTCTCAAAACTCATGTGATCACTTGCTCTTGCAAAACCAGCCATTTGCCTTCCAGCCCAACGTGCCCTTGCTTGGCCTCGTTTCTTTAATTGGGATTCTGCAACGTACTTCTATGTTACAGCCCCTGCTCCTGGGGTGAGGGCCCAGCTGAGGGGCTGTTTTGGGAACCCCAAGGATTCGAGGCACCTCACGAAGGCAACAGTGAAAAACCCCAAGCGATTAAAGTAATTACTTTTTTATCCATTCCATAAAGGTTTAATATAGACCCCAAGAAAAATCTTTTGACAAAGATATTATCCTCTTACCTCACAAAGTCCAAAGGGAAAAAGAAAAAAAACCAAACAAAACAAAGAGCACTGCTATAAGCACTCGGGTAATGCTGCCCGAGCTGGGCTGCAGCACTGTGACAGGGACGTGCCAGGCTGACCGGGTTAGCAGAAAACGTGAAAATAACACCAAATACGACAGCAATGACGTGGTTTGAGAAGCAATAGGCGATTCTCAACATATAAGTAATTCTCGAAATGTTAGTAATGCCATGTAACAGAAACTGATGCCCGCGACACTGCCAGGGCCAGACCCCTCTCCATACCCAGAGCCGGACCCATCTGTCGCGACAGCGGGTCCGGCCCGGCCGCAGCGCGAACACGCGGCCCCTGCGGGCCCCAACCCGGGGTTTCGGGGCAAACCCCGGCCGGCAGCGCCGGGCCCGGGCCGGGGCCGGACACAGGCCGGGCCTGCCGGGGCACCGGAGCCACCGGGCGACCACGGGGGTCCCGCCGCGCCCCCGCCTCGCTCGTTCGGAGCCTCACAGCGGCCCCGGCTTCCCCCACTGCCCCCCGGCCCGGCCCGGCCCTGCTCACCGGCGGTGCGGGCCCCGCAGCCCCGCTCGAGCAGCCGCTCCGCCCGCGCCCGTCACCTGACGGCCCGGAAGCGCGGCCGGCGGAAGGGACCGGGGCCGGGGCTGGGGCCGTTCCGCCCGCCCGGCACCGCCCGCGGCTCCCCCGGGCCCGGTGGCGCTGCCCCGGCGGCCCCTCCCGGCCTTGGCGCCCCCCAGACCCCGCGCACGGGCGTTACCCTCGGCTCCGGCAGAACGTTCCGAGCCCCCGCCCGCGCCCCCGGGCACCCGAGCGCTGCGGCTGCCCCGGTTTGGCTGCCGGGGGAGGTGTCCAAACGGCGGCCTCTGGGGAGAGCACAAAGTTCTTACTGAATGCGGAGGGAGGGAGGGAGGGAAGGAAGGAGCTTTGAGGGAAACAAATTGTTCAGATGTGAACGAACAAATGTGAGCAGAGCATTAGGATTGGAACACAGGAGCATCTCCAAGATGGGAACAGAGAGCCTGATAAAGGTATTTAGAGCTTGATAAAGGTATCTGTAGGGCTGTGAGAAAGCCTAGGGTCAGAGGGACCAAAGGCAGGGAGAGGAGGTGACCTGGGGTCTGAAGGAACGGGTCAGAACTGAGAGATGCCTGAGAAAGCACCTCTGAAGGCTCTGTTGCAGCTTTGAGGGCACCTCACCAGTCCTGAGGACTCCAAGGTACGAAACAGCCCAAAATTGCTTGTTTTACACAGTGGAGAATGGGTTAATCTTAAGCCAGCTGAAGGTGAACCTTATGAAGGAATAGTTAAGAAATTAAGGAGTGTTAGTGCCAAGGGAGACTATTGGAAAGAGCCCAAGGATGTTGTCGGAGGCCTGTCTCACACGTGGGCTGAGACTGCACATCTCTAGTGTGAAGGGTAGAACGTGCAAGCCAGGAGTGTCCAGCAGTATAAAAACACAGCTCTACTGAGCCTTCCTGCTGCTCTCAGCAGCACAGAGCCCTGGCAAAACCCATGGCAAAAGGGTCTCCCAGCAGACCACCTGGAGTTGCCAAATGTGTTGATGTATCACACTGGAAAATTTCTAGTTCAGGTGAAGATGTGGTATGTGAACATGGCAGTGGTGGTGGCATGGGGAGCACAAAAGGCAGTCCCACCCTCTGGAGCAGTGTATTTGCTGTCTGTGAAAATCTCTCTAACAAAGCACTCTTCATTTCCAACCAGTCAGGAAAGCAGCAGGATTTGGTACAGCTTCTGCATTCAAACAAAAATTTGGCATCTCAGTGTAGGAACTGATTACGAAGAATTTAACGAGACCCCAAAGGTAGGAGCCATATCCTCTTGATGCTGACTAAAACAGGGATGAGCTTATGAAATTCAGATCAGCTCAGACTAGTCACTGTGTATGTCAAGAGAATTACAGTATGAAAAGCGAAAAAAGGTTGATTTTGGTGTTATAATGGGAATAAGTAATAGTCTGGTAACAGTGGTAAAGTGCTGAAGATCTTATTACAGTCGCTGACTCCTTCCACATCCCTTAGTGCCAGGTATTCTCTCTTTCTCCACAAATACCAAAGCGATACTGCTATCTAACTAAGGGTTTTCTGGTGTGGTTGGTGTGTTTAACACTCCTGCTCTGTGGGAGCTGTTGATGCTGAGGAATACCGAGATATTTTCCTGTGGGGCTCTTGGGAAGAAAGGCTGCTCAGCCAGAGATGGACATGGAAACCAGCCGTGTTCACCCCCAGCAATTTCCCACGCGCAGGCACCGCTGCTCCCAGCGGCACAAACCCGGGCCGGGCCGTGGGGACCGGGTCTGTCCGTGGGGGTGTCCCCGCTGCCCCTCGGGGGGTCTCGGGTGGGGGGTTCTCGGCAGACGCGGGCGGACTACAGCTCCCGGCATGCCCCGCTCTTGGACTACAGCTCCCGGCGTGCCTCGCGCCTACAGCATGGCGGCGCCCAGGGACGGCTCGGGCCCGGACACCGACACCGGCAGCAGCTCGGACTCGGATGGCGGCGGCGAGGCCGCGGCGCGGTTCCGGGAGGCCGCCTGGGACTGTGCGGCGCAAGCGGCGGCGGTTGCACCACGGGCGGAGCCGCGCGGCGGTGAGGGGCCGAGAACAGCCGCGCTCTGCTCTCCGCGTGTTCTGCTCTGCCCTTCTTCCCCTCTCCCTTTTCCCTCTCCCTCTCCTCTCCGGGTCCCTCCGCAGCGCCTCCTGCCCCGGGGACTCCTCTGTGCCGCGGTACCAGTGTGGGAGCCGGGCGAGGCCCTGCCCAGGTCATACGCGGCCTCCAGCCCGGCCCGGAGCCCCTTCCCGGCAGGACTGGCCGGAGCCAAGTTTCCCTTTCCCCTCATAACTGTTTCCCCCCCCCCCAAAGGTGGGCAAGAGTTGCCTTTCGGGCACGATTCTTTATGCTATAACATGTGGCTGAAGGGGGTTAAACAGGTCGTTAAAGAGGTCCTGGAGCAGGTCTTTTAAACGTGCTTTTGCTTCTTCCTTTTCAGGTGGCTTTAGGAAGGATCGGTTACAGCCCAAGGATCAGCCAAGCCTGAGGTATTTTTTCTCCTGGTTTCAGACTTTCATGTTTCACTGAAGAAAAAATTAACGTATGTTGTATTTGGGCTGTTTACAGTTAATACCTTGTGATAATTCTCACTGGAAGGGCCTGCTCTGTTTTGGGAATTAGCCCAACCATAATCTGAAATTATGGTTAAATCTGAAAAAGATAGTAGGTTTTTTTATAAGTACATTTGCCATCCCTCTACCAGCAGGGAAATATAGAAGTTGAAAACTTACTGCTGCTGTCATTTACAGCCTTAGTTCCACTGTCAGAAACCACCCAATTCTGTAAATGTCCCATGAAGGAATTAGTGCAATTACATATATTACAGTCTCTTATCTCCTGTTTGGGTGAGGGCACCAGGTGTTTCTGGCCTTGAAAGAGAATAATCCTTGTTCTTGTTCTAAACGGGCGGGAGGTGAACGGCTGCCAGGAGGGTGACAATGAGCTCCACACAACTCCAGAGTTCAGAGCACATGTGGCCAAGAAACTGGGAGCGATGCTGGACAGGTATGGGCAGGCAAGGCTGAAAAGGTTTGTTCTGTGGATCAGCTACACTGATGCTTTTTGTGTGCTAAACCCAGGAAATTCAACATCATCTTGTCTCCTTCATTCCTGTATTTAGTGCAAACTTCCAGTGTTCCCTGATCTAACCTTGCTGATGTGCTGTGCTCCTCTGGTAAAGATCCTGTGCAGCACTGCCTGTGACCATTTGCCTCTGTGGTGAATGTGCTGCGGGGAGGGAAAAAAGTCGAATTTGGGTACCTTAGCACTTTGGTCATTTAAAGGGTGGCATGGGAATCTTCCCTTTGTTCTTACAGTCTAAAGCAGTGCCTGATTCAGGGTTGTGCTGGCAGTGTGCCTCTGACTGGGCTGCTCATTGTGTAAATATGGCCCTGGAGAACTAGAATTCCTGGTGTTTAGAGCTGGCTTTAGAAAGGCTGCTTTTAAATCATTCCTGTGGCATGTGTTGCTGAGGGGAGAAGGCCTGGTCTGCCCTGAAAGTAGGGACCTGAGGCAGCCTCACTAACAAAAAAGTGTAACATCTCCCTCTAGTCTTGTTTCTCAGAAATACCCAACTTGAGCTGGATTTGCACAAACCTGAGTTCTGACTGGAGTTTTCTGTTTAGTTTCATCACTGTCTTGAAGGACTCATCAGGACCTTCTCAGACCTCTGTGCCACAGTCTGACTCTGCAGATGATGGTGAGTTCCAGTCTCAGCCATTGTGACTGTGTTGGTTAAGTGATGACAAGTGGGATGGACCCTGTCCATCACCAACTAATTAGTTGTACAGCCAACTAATAAACACTTGCAATAAAAGGTTTTTCTCAGTGCCTGTGAGGGCTGTTGCTTTGCAGCTGTGACCTTTGTGCCCCAAGTCCTCCCACACAGTCCCAAATAATTGCTGTCAAGCTCTGTAGCAATACAGTAACAGTAGTGAGGCTTCCAGGGAGATGGCTGTTGGTTGCTTTCACCTCTGTTTTATATCATGCCTAAAATTCCCCTTCCAATACTTCAGGTTTTCGCCTCTTCTCTTCCTCTGTCCCTGGAGACTGTGGGAAACCAGAGCCTTGCCCTGCAGCAAGGAGGAGGCACCCAGTGAGCTCCAGGTGAGGTGTTGGCAACTGCTTTGCTCTTCAAGGACTGTTGCATCCCACATTTCAGTGGCAGCTGGAAATCCCACGAGGGAACAGGAAGCTGAAAAGCTGGAGAAGTGTGTATTCATGACTCTGACACTGGACTAGACCAGAATTTTGTTTCTTATTTTAGTGCTGGGGGAACTAGAAATGTTTGTGGGAGATTTTCTTTCCCCTCCTTGTGTGTGTAAAGAGCAACCTGGCCTTCCATCTGGTTAAATGCAAACTGTAGGTGTGGGAGTCCCAGAGCCACTGGGTGTTTATCATGTGTTCTCATCTCAGATTACTCTGCTGGCTGAGTTTTGGGTGAATTCAAGGCAAAAGTGTAACACAACCTCCTTCCCTCTTGTTTCCTTCCCAGTGACACGGACAGTGACCAGGAGTGGCAAAGGTTCCAGGAGGCTGCTGTGTCAGTTGCAGATATTCTGAAGCAAAGTGCTTTTCCT